CACTACGCGAGAATTATCGGGACATCAGTCTGCTAGATGTGACTGCAAAAGCGTTTGCCCAGCTTGTGCTTAATTGATTTGCTACAGTGAGGCATGCGCGTACACAGTCAAACCAAAGAGGCTTCCAACCCGGCAAAGGATGTATCGATCAGATTTTCATCCTAAGGCGAATTCTGGAACACCGATACAAGTTTCAGTGCCCTACCGATATATGTTTTATTGATTTTCGCGCCGCATTCGATTCAGGGGACCGTGAGTCACTGTGGAAGATAATGCTTGCAGATGGTGTCCCTGCAAAGTTGATCAATATAATGAAATCGTATTACACCCAAACCAAAGCCCGTATCCGTGCCTATGGTGAAGAGTCTCATCCCTTAGATCTGAGGTCAGGAGTAAGACAAGGATGCCCGCTATCTCCAGTGTTGTTTAACTTTGCCGTTGATTGGATTCTGCATCGGGCAATGGAAGGTTACCAAGGCGTCCAAGTTTCCGCGGATTGCTGGATTACTGACCTCGAATTCACTGATGACGTGACAGTGCTTGGAAAGGACCTAACCGCCTTGCAAACAGCTCTCAACCGTATCAAAAGATTTGCCACTGAGATCGGCCTTCAGATCAATCCTAACAAAACCAAGATATTCGCTACTCCAGGGGATCAAACGGAACATCCTCTGCAACTGGATAGTCGGACAATAGAAATCATATCGGACTTCAAGTACCTTGGGTCTGCAATCCTGTCCAATGGACAAGCCAAAGATGATGTACAGCGGTGCATCGATACAGCCCAAACGGCGTTTCTGCAGCTCCGAACCACCCTATAGCGCCGGAACGAGATCAACCTCAAAACCAAGCTCAGGGTGATGGCCACAGCAGTTCGACCAATCCTACTATACGGTTGCGAAACCGGGTAGCTGAGAGCTGAGGACATTCGACGATTGGATGTATTCGATCACTGGTGTCTTCGATTCATTCTGAAAGTAAACTGGCGGGACAGGGTCCAAAACTCGGACCTCAGAAATCCATACCACGTTGCCCGTCTCTCAACGCACATACAACGCCGCCGAATGCAATGACTAGGCCATGTTTTCCACAGGCCCCACGACACTTTTACGAGTATTGTCTTGGCTCCGACACCATGTCCTGGCTGGCGCCGCCGACAATGGAGGCAAGTAAAAACCTGGTTGGACACTGTATTCGAAGACATCGACCAACTAGGCCTTCGGATGGTGCACGGCACTCGCTGATGGAAAACAAACTGGATTGACATTTGGAAGGATCTTACAGCCAAACGCCAAGTATGGATGCGGCCATCAGACATTCATGGAGCCGGTTTATCCTTTCCAAGGAGCCAGCCGTAGTAAAGTGAAGTAACAAAAACGGTGCACGAAAATGGATGGTTAAACGGATCAAAAGCCAACTGGAAACTGTGCAAATACCACAACTTTACCATGGACAGAACCANAACCTGGCGGTGTTTAGTGAAACCTGTTTTCCACATGAGGTTCGGTTCCGTTTTATATAATAAATTCTTGCTGTCATAGATGGGGTCTATGTTTTACTTGCTCCAGGATTAAAGCGTGGGGTAATACATCTTTTATACTCACCAATCGGTCGTTCGAATGTATGATATGAAGAAGTGATGAAGTGCACATACCAACTGATCAAATTCCTAGTAATCATAGGAAATTAGCCACTTGTTTTTTTCTCATAAAATAGAACAGCTGCTAAGGGTCTTAGTTTTATGTTTTCTACCGGTCAGCTACTTTAAATGAAAGTTATGGGAAAAAGTCAGAGATCGTTGATGAAACACAGCCGCGCTATTTGAAGGGAGAATTTTTACTGACCTTCGATGTATTGAAGCAGAAAAAATACAATGTATGTGCTGGAGTAACAAGGGATGAACAGATAGATTTAGATGGTTTCACGACGACGAACTGAGCCAGGTAGTTTGAGTGCACACATAAGCAAGGGTAATGTACTCAGAACATTCGAACTTACGTGGCCACAGCCCGCGTTCGGAAGGGAACAACGGATTCCGGATTCACAGTCGGTTTTGGTGCGTCCCCACTAANGTTTCGTTTACGATTTTTCTTTTTCCTCATCGGTTTCAAATTTCCCCGCTCAGTCAAGGATAATGAGTCAAGTGTACTAAACTGAGCCCATTGGTTCACCAACTGCATACAATCTGTCTTCTGGTTAGGACCACCTGTAACAGTTAATGGACCCGTAGACAAATCTGGGGTCGTGATTTGTGCGCGTAGCTCAGCCTGACCGCGAGCATTTGGTTGACCGTGCAATTGTAGATGGGTATGCAGAAGGACGCGACGAAACATATCTCGCTGGCGTTTCTTGCAACTAGGGCGACTAATGCCACCGGCATGGGTCTGCTTCAATTGTTTGCGCACCCAGCTTTTCGAAACGGTGGACTGGGCATCGATTCCGTCATCACTGAAGCCCACGCTTGCAGTCTCCTCGAATGCTGCAGGTCCATCTGCCATTTCAGCATCCGCATTATCAACGGATTGCTACAGCAAGGTAAAAATCACAAGTGGAGGTAAGAGTCACAGACCATGGAACGAAAGAACTGCTTATTGTGATAAACGAACCATTAAAAAGGAAATGGAGTAAAATGTACATCACACTCCTTGTTTTGTAAAACATGAGTGCATAGATATTCCCGAATATGCATGTAGCAACCTTTCAGTGGCAGAATATAAGCTCTTTAGTGTTGGGAAACAATGAAAACTGGGCTCACCAAGGAAGAAACTTGATATTAAGGAATGGGTAATAAACAATAAAGAGGGGTAATGCGTTAGTCACGAGGATCTTCCAAGTCAAGTCAAGAAGCGACTCTGATTCGCCCCATAGGGGATGTCGCTGACTAATGAGAAAAGCTGATCTAACCCTTGAAAATAGCAATGGCTAACCCCATAAGGACCCTTCAGGGTACTCGTGTTATTGAGTCGAACTATAGCGAAGCTGCTCATCATCAAGGTTGGGTGGCGGCGATAGGGTTTGAACCTCAGAACTGAATCGTGCAAAGGGCGGCGACTTAACCAATACCACTGCATACATATATACATAAGCTCGATATCTTGACTACTCTTTTCGTCCCGTCCCTAAAACGGTCAGCACCTACTATCACGCGCGCGCAAACATTCCAACTTGACATAATGGGCAGCATAGGTTTTTACCGCAGTACAATTATGAATGGTCGACTAGAGACACACACGCTGTCGTGTTCGTAAGGAAACGCCGAAGCAAAAAACGGATGCGTAGTATATGCGACTTTTGGTTTCAAGGAAATATCACGCCGGTACCCAGGGTGCTTCAGTTTTGCGTACGCCGCTCGTGTCATGGAAATGCTAGTGGTTATTTCCTTTACTATAGTACCATCATTTGTCACGCAAATAAGTAGGAGAAGCAATTCACTGTAATTCATTCTTGACCGCCAAGCGTCAGAACCGGAGTAGAAACACCCAGTTTTGCAACATTACTTTGCACGTTGATGCAAAGCGCATACCAAATGAAGGTACGGAACTTGAATGTCTGTCAAGAGCGCTTTATGCATCCACCGTAGACTAGAACAGACAAACCGCATCACCAGCGCAATCTAAATTGCACAGCTTAACTTCAGCTGCTCACTCAATATCAACACTTTGAAGAAGTAGGGTGACTGAGGGTACCGTTGACAAACATAACTGATGGTTTCGAACGACTTGCCTAACACACTAGACCACGACACTCCCAGAAGTATGTAAGCACAGTGATCTCAATAGATCAATATACTTCTGAGGTACACCTTTGTGAAGCAGCGAACCTATTGGGGCTGCGCGATAAATTAAATTGAAAGTTCTTGTGGGGTTAGGGAACACTGCAATTGTTGGTCGACGATACGTGTGGTGTAATTCGACGAACTGATACAATGTGAAGATTTGGTTACCGGAGCTACGAGTTGGTCGGAATCCTGTTTGTTGCTAGCGAATATCAATCTCTCTTAAGGGTGTCAGGCGGCGAAGTATCACAGAAGTTAACACTTACTAACTAGACTTATTCAGCGGTAGTTTGCGCGATCACTGTTACCCCTTCTAGATCGGAACAGTCAACGGTTCACTTCAAGATTAAGGGATATGCTTTTCCGACCAAATGATGTTCAGAAAACTACACCTTTGCTCATCAAGCTTTGGCCTTGGCCCGCAATTCTCCAGCCTTAACCCACAAACATGACATTAGGCAAAAAGCGATACATTGAAAAGATAAATGCTTACCGTTCCATAGCCTAATTTTAGAAAACAGATATGTGGCGAACAAGCTTGGTTTCAGTGCTTTACTTACTGGCCAATTACAGCACATTATATAACTCGGAAATAACACAGGGAGACGGTCAAATCAGGGTTTTAGTGTATGTAAAATGGACGTTCAGGGGTTGGGAGGGAGGGAGATGTATCAACACTGACCGCATGATTGGTGATAATCCCTTGAGGAGTGTGAATATTCGACTGATGTGTTAAGTGGGAGCACTTCGAACACACGGCCATGGGAGGGAAAGGGATTTAACGAACTGTTTGTGTGCACATAATGGGAGTTTGTTTATTCTAATTGCTATCGCCTCTGCTGTAGATAACAATCGAACCCCATAAGGCCCCAGTGGTTCATCCACCATCACGGTGGTCAACTGAGCTGCATACGATCGCCACATCTCACTTGTTCACTGAGCTCAGCAACACCAACACTTGTAGAAAATAAAATCTTAAACATTGGTGGACCTCAGAATATTAAGATACTTTTTTATTTGACTCGCTTATAGTGGCACAGTTTGTGCATCGAGGCTAAAAGACTGTGGGTCGTGGCTAAAGTATTGCGTATCCCTTCGACTCGTTTATACCTTTTATTGCCTCGCTTTTACAAGTCAACTTGCACATGACCGTTGGCCATACTGGTACTTATCCTCTTCTAGCATTAGATATGACAGATCTTTGCCATTCTCCCAGAAGAAGTAATTCTATACTGTAAACAATAACCACCAAAAATGCAACTTTTTCTTTGACACTAAAAGCACCGACCTACACCAGCGAACACTGATTACTATTAGTTTAACCNATAAATTTTCCTCACGATCTGCCATATTAGGTTTTATTTTCTCAACTTCTCTGCTGGACGAATCCCGCGGGCAGGCTTCTTTTTGGTTTTCATCGCCTTCTTCATTCATGTGTGTCCTCATATTCACTTAAACAATTAATGCCATCTATAATTACTGCCGCCCTGTCAAAAATCTGTACGTGTCCAATGGAAAGATAACCTCTCTCCTACTAAGGTCGCTGCGAGACAAAAGGAACGTTCTTTTTTACTTTACTACGGCTCGCTCCTTGAAAAGGATAAGCTGACTCCATGAGTGCCTCTGATTGCCGCCGTAGAAGAGATGGTCATGGAGTTACTTGGTAGTTTGGTACGAGAGACGTCCCCAGCGTCATTCGGTGTTTCTTTATTTTGAGGCCCTTGCACAACCAAGTGCAAACTGCAAGGCAGGAAGTAATCCCTCGCCTCGGAAGTGAGGGGGTCAAGGACTTTAGTTTTAAAAGGCCAGTCACATCGACCTTTGACACGACACCGTCATTGGGTTTATGCGGCTTTTAAACAGGAGCCAGGTGACCAACCTGAAACCCACAGAACCCTGGTAGCGCCG